CTGGGTTGAGTCACCAGGTAGGAAAGAATTGTTGTAAAAAGCAAAGAAGGGAAAATAAAGAAAAAGAAACTACTAAACTCTTTTCAAAACAGTTGCATCCTTCCTACCAGTAATCTAAAAGAACTATTCCACATCTTTACCAACACTGTGATTCTAGATATTTTAATTTGTATTATATTATGGATTTAATTTACATTTCTTTGATGAATAATTTTACTGAACATATGTTCATGCAGTTATTAGTTATAAAATCTCTTCTTTTCTAATATGTCCATGATATTTTAATTAGTTTATTTCATTATGTTGTAGAAGTTATTTTTATTCATTGGATTATTTTTATGTATTACATGTATTGGTATGTGACATATAAGAACATGTGTGTTCTAGGACTATGTTTAATTATGCTCCTTCTCTCAGTAAGAGAAAAACTATTTTGGTATCATATTTTGCATTCTTTACTCCATGATTTTTTTTCTTTCTTAACAGCCCAGCATTTGCAATTTAAAGTTCAGGTTTTCAAACTCTTGTTTCAGCCACTAGTTAAAAACATCCTTTTGGGCTGGGGTTGTAACTCAGTGGAGAGCACTTGCCTCGAATGCGGGAAGCACTGGGTTCAATCTTCAGCACCACATAAATAAATAAAATAAAGGTATTGTGTTCATCTACAACTAAAAGTTTTTAAAAATCCATTCAGAAACTCAACTAATGGCTTTATTCTGGACTCTCTCTATCTTCCCTCCAAGATCATCACATAAGTAGTGTTTGAATGATGGACAGAAAGGCAAGGAGCACAATCAAACTTTCATTAATTCTATTTGTTATTAATTCACTATGTTTGTTATGGCACTTGAGTTGATGTTAAATTGGACAACAGAGAGCAGTTGTCCTCCAGGCATTTTACCAGGAAATAAAATCTTGACATCATGTTACACAATATTTATTACAAGCTCTGTTAAAAGAAGTAATGTAGCCAGGTGTGGTGGCCCATGTCTGTGATCCTAGCAGCTCTGAAGATTGAGGCATAGGGATCATGAATTCAAAGCCAGCCTCAGCAAAAGTGAGGGGTTAAGCAACTCAGTGAGATCCTGTCAAACAAAATACAAAATAGGGCTGGGGATGTGGCTCAGTGATCAAGTGTCCCTGAGCTCAATCCCAGTACACTGCTCCCCACCAAGAAAACAAAAAGAAGCAATGTTCAAGGAAATTACCTGAAAGGCATATAAACATTGCAGATTTTATAGAATACATTCCTGACTTAAGCAGGGATCTGAGTACCTATACTGCAATATATTGGTTTCTTTAAGAATTGCTTTTTGCGGGAAACAAACCAAGTATCACATCCAGAAAGAGACCCAGTTTGTACTAATGTTAGAACTGATGGGCATTTGACTGCAGGAAATATGTCATTTTCTTTTGAGACTCTCCACATTTCCTAGCACTCTGCTCTGAATTTAATTGACTCAAACCAAGCACCAGATAATACCGTATTCTCGGAAGGGAGTAAATAGCATTGACCTGGACATTCATGATAAATGATGATAAATGCATTGCTTAGCTGGGTCTCTAAAAGCCATAAATACCAACCAAACAATAAAAATGACTTAAAAAAATAGTTTAAACTGCTCATACTGTTCCTGATTCAATGTAAAATTCCCAAAACTGTATCAAACCAGTTGTACAATACAATGTATGAAAGTCTGGAAAAAAATTATATTTAGGAATAAGGACTTCAAAGACTTTCCTATGCTTGTGAGGGTCCCAAGTTCATGTCCAATTATTATTTTATCTCTTACTTATTTTATCATTTCATCATTCTCCAATAAATTATATTTACTGAGAAAAAAAAAAGAATTGCTTTTTGGGGGTCTGGGGTTGTGGATGAGTGGTAAAGTGCTTGCCCAGCATGTGTGAGGCACTGGGTTTGATCCTCAGCATCACATAAAAATAAATAAAGGTATTGTGTCCATATACAACTGAAAAAATAAAAATAAAAAAGAATTGCTTTTTCTGAATTTTGGTCAAGTGTGATATCACTTGCCTATACTTAAGGTGGTTATAAGAAACTACCCTAAGATGTCATTGATTCATTTACTGCAAATTGATCAGAAAAGATATTCACTTTATCATATAGGTCCCTTTAATTACTACTATGAGGAGAAAATCCCAAATTTTGATCCCCAAATTTCTTTACTACTTCTTAGCACCAGTTTGTATTCATACTACAAATGTTGTTGATAGCGTGTTTAGTCATGTTTCCTTTTTCACATTTACTGCCCAGGAAGCTTAGATTCAAACTTATAGACAACCCACAACAAATATGTAGGTCTTTATGGCTAAATACAGTTTCATTTAGTATCCCCTCTCTTCCACCATCTCATGAGTTTTTTTCTACTATTGTGTGCTTCCTGAAATCCTTTCAGGAATATGAGAATGTGAATAATTTTAGACACATTTCAGCAAAATTTTCATCTAATTTTGCAAGTCCATTTGGTCTTCTGTCACACAGATGTCCTCCTAAACTCATTCTTAGAAACACTTTTTTATCCTAATTTGTTATCTATGACAGCAGACTGCATTATAATTCATATTACATATATACAGCACAATTTTTCATATCTCTGGTTGTATACAAAATATATTCACACCATTCATGTCTTCATACATGTACTTATTGTAATGATGTCCACTTCATTCCACGTCTTTCTACCCCCATGCCCTCTCCTTTCCCCTCCCACCCCTTTGCTCTATCTAGAGTCCGTCTAACCTTCCCGTGCTTCCCCTCCCAACCCGACTATGAATCAGCCTCCTTATATCAGAGAAAACATTCAGCATTTGTTTTTTTGGGATTGGCTAACTTCACTTAGCATTATATTCTCCAACTCCATCCATTTTCCTGCAAATGCTACGATTTTTTATTCTCTTTTATTGCTGAGTAATATTCCATTGTGTATATATACCACATTTTCTTTATCCATTCATGACTGAAGGGCATCTAGGTTGGTTCCACAGGAAAACTACCCAATTTACAACAGCCTCAAACAAAACAACAAAACAAAAAAACCCCAAAAAACAAAAAACAAAATACTTGGGAATCAATCAAACAAAAGAGGTGAAAGACCTCTACAACAAAAACTACAAAATGCTAAAAAAGAAATTAAAGAAGACCTTAGAAGATGGAAAGATCTCCCTTGTTCTTGGATAGGCAGAATTAACATTGTCAAAATAACCATACTACGAAAAGCATTATACAGATTTAATGCAATTCCAATCAAAATCCCAAAGACATTCCTCATAGAAATAGAAAAAGCGGTCATGAAATTCATCTGGAAAAATAAGAGACCCAGAATAGCTAAAGCAATCCTTAGCAAGAAGAGTGAAGCAGGTGGCATCACTGTACCAGAACTTAAACTACACTACACAGCAATCGTAACAAAAACAGTATGGTATTGGCACCAAAACAGATGAGTAGACCAATGGTACCAAATAGAGGACACAAAGACTAATCCACATAATTACAGTTATCTTATATTAGACAAAGGCACCAAAAACTTACACTAGAGAAAAGATAGCCTCTTCAACAAAATGGTGCTGGGAAAACTGGAAATCCATATGTGACAAAATGAAATTAAACTTCTACCTCTCACCATGCACAAAACTCAACTCAAAAGTGGATAAAGGACCTAGGAATTAAACCAGAGATCCTGCGCCTAATAGAAGAAAAAGTAGGCCCAAATTTCCATTATATCAGATTAAGCCCCAACTTTCTTTTTTTTTAATAGTTTTTTTAGTTGTCGATGGACTCTATTGTCTTTATTTTTATGTGATGCTGAGGATGGAACCCAGTGCCTCACACATGCTGGGCAAGCACGCTACCACTGAGCCACAACCCCAGCCCTCCAACTTTAATAAGACTCCTATAGTGCAAGAATTAAAATGAAGAATTAATAAATGGGATGGATTCAACCTAGAAAGCTTCTTCTCAGCAAAAGAAACATTCAGTGAGGAGAATAGAGAGCCTAAGCTTGGGAGCAAATTTTTACAACTTGTACATCAGATAGAGAACCAATCTCTAATATAAAGAACTCAAAAAGCTAAACACCAAAAAAACAAATAACCCAATCGATAAATGGGCCAAGGAACTGAACAGACACTTCTCAGAAGGTGATATACAATCAATCAATAAATATATGGAAAAATGTTCAACATCTCTAGCAATTAGAGAAATACAAATCAAAACTAAAGATTTTATCTCACTCCAGTCAGAATGGCAGCTATTAAGAATGCAAACTACAATAAGTGTTGGTGAGGATGTGAGGAGAAACGCACAACCACGCATTGCTGGTGGGTCTGCAAAATGGTGCAGCCAATAAGGAAAACAGTATGGAGATTCCTTGGAAAACTGGGAATGGAACCACCTTTTGACCCAGCTATCCCACTCCTTGGTTTATACCTAAAGGACTTAAAAACAGCATACTACAAGGACACAGTCACATCAATGTTTACTGCAGCACAATTCACAATAGAAACACTTTTTGATACAAATTCTTCTGTTTTTAAGAACAGTAAAATAAAGTGATAGGCTTTCTAGCAGCCCTTTTATATAGGAAGTTACCAACAAAGAGAAAAAGCAAAAACAATTTTAATCATCTAGTGATTTAGGAATGGGCAAGAGATACATTTAGAAACAAGTGATAAAACCTGAAACGGTAGTTCCACTCTAGCTACGGTTTGCATGTTGGTGCCAGATACAAAAATTGAGAATAATATCTAGAAATTTTTACAGCGATTTGAGAAAGTAACTGATAATAAATCAGATTTGAATCAGATAATAAAAATGAGGATTGTATTTTGTGTGTCCCTCCCCCCAGTAATCCATTTTCATTGATTACATGTTGATGTACAATTGAAAAATTTAAAACATCATTAACTACAAAGATGCAAAAAACTGGTCCTTCATAACCAATACTGTGAGAAGCAGTGGTTTAAAGGCCTTAACCTACCTTCCCAGAGTCACAATATAGAAAGAGGTCAGCAAACATCTGTCTCTGTAAGTCAGCTTTTACAACCTCCCGGAAATCATCTGCACAGTGGCAAAGATGCTTCAGAAGTTCCTCAAAAATTTCACTTTTAAGGTCTGCAATATGTGAAGAGATGTACTGCAGGGGGGAAAAAGAGAGAGAGAGAGAGAGAGGATAAATGATGACTTAAAACCATGTCCTTTATTTGGATTTTCCAAGGGGTTTAGTTCATGTATATGAACTACATTTGCTGCAAAAATGTTCCCATATCGGGCTGAGGATGTGGCTCAAGTGGTAGCGCGCTCGCCTGGCATGCGAGTGGCTCGGGTTCGATCCTCAGCACCACATACCAACAAAGACGTTGTGTCTGCCAATAACTAATAAATACATAAATATTTAAAAAAAATGTTCCCATATCATTTTTTTTGTTTTTTTCCTATAAAATTTCTTATCATTTAAAGGTGTTTTTTGTTTGGTTTGGTTTGGTTAAACTGGGGATAGAACCTGGGGCACTCTACAACCATGCTACACCTCCAGCCATTATTATATTTTTAAATTTTAAATTTTAAAAATTTGAGAGAGGGTCTTGCTAAGTTGCCAAGGCTGGCCTCGAGCTTGTGATCCTCCTGCCTCAGCCTCCTAAGTCACTGAGATCATTATAGATGAATACTACCACATTCAGTACTTAAAAAGTATTTTTATGTGCCACTGTACATGCTGTGCTGCAGAGGGACCAATGTGGTCCCCAACACCATACACCAGTGGGACTAGATATTTTTGGAGCAAATTCACTTTGGGTCACATTGGCATTATATAAGGCAGACTTTCTTCACAGTCAGAAATAGAAGCAATCCTAAAATGTTGCCTGTGGATGAAAAGTTCCAAAATTGAATGGAGCTTTTCTATTGGCATATGGCACGAAAGAGCATGTGAGTCCCAAGGCTGGCTATGTTTAATTATTGTAAAGTATGGGGATTCTGAGTAGTTTTTTATCTTTTGATATTATAGGGTATTCTTTGTCTATGATTTTTTTTAAGTGTAGAAACTAAAAATATCTATGTTCCTAGGCCATTTCTCTTCCCTTGTTGAATAGCAATTCCCCAAGAAGTGAGATCTCTAGCTTAGATGTTAAATATATCTGTATTTTTTGTGGGTTTGACAAAAAGCTTGTGCTCTTTTGCAGTCCCACATCAGCCTTACCATCTGTGTGTTGCTGCCTGAATTTTTGCCAGTTTGATAGGTCAGGAATGTTATATTCTTGATCCACTTCTCTTCATGAGAGCTAGAAAGTATGCTGGATAGAAAGAAATGATCAAGCGCTGGCAAAATCTCTGAGCAGATGCTTCTTGAAGTGTTAGCCCAGTTAGTGAGTGTCTTCACTGCCCCAAAGACAGAGGTAGACCTATTTATACTGCACAACCCTACTTCGGTAGCCATAAATGATTGGATCAGGAGAGGACACTTAACATAAGGAATGCCATTCAGATCTTCTTCTCTGGAAATCGAGGGCTAGGATTTAGTCAGTTGATCTCTGAGTGGGGCTGGACTTTCGAGTGTGTAAGTGTACTGGAGGAAGCAAAACTTTATCTTGACCCTTTTAAGATCTTAGAAAGGCCTAAGAACTAAATTGACATAAGACAAACAGGAGACAAGTCCAAATGTGTAACACAAGTTTTACAGAGCCCTTATAAAGAAATGATGACCTAGGGCCAGGGCTGAAGCTCCATGGCAGAGTGCTTGCCTAGCATGTGAGAGGCATTGGGTTCGATCCTTAGCACCACATAAAAATAAACAAATAAAATAAAAGCATTCTGTCCATCTACAACTACTAAATAAATAAATGAATAAGTAAAGCATGCTGTTCATCTACAACTACAAAAAAAATTTAAAAAGAAATGATGACTCAAAGAAGTGGCAAAATCTTTGTGTTTTTATATTTGGTGGAACAAAAGGAGGCAAACATGGAAAAATAATTATGTAGGGAACAGCATCAGCACTACCTGAGAACTTGTTAGAAATGCAAAATTTTGATCTTCATCTCAGACTTACTGCATCAGAAACTCTAGGGTTAGGGTCCAGTAATCTGTTTTAACAAGCCCCATAGGTAATTCTGATGCATGCTGAAGTTTGAGATCCATTGAACGAGGTGATCTGGGTAATTGGTTCTTTATTGGTTCAATATCCTTAGTTCCTGTTGTTTGACCTTCATTACCTTTTGCTTGAATAGTAGGTGTTTTTCTAAATTGTTGGTATAATTGTTGGAATAATGGCATTTTCTGTCAATATTGTGGCTCACTCCTTTAATGCTTAAAAAAGTAGATACTAGTTCATGAGAACAATTACCCTGTTTTATATTTAGCATTTGGGAAAAAAAAAACAACTTCAAAGCCATTTGAGTTTCTTGGCCGTGGGAATGCTATTGAATCAAGAATTAGTTTAAGCCTTTCTCTGGATTTATAACCTATGGGTTTTATGAGTAAACACATTCTAATTGTTCTATAAAGGTGGGCTGTATGACATAAAGACTATACCAGTTGCCAACATCAACCACAAATCAAATTCTAAATAGAACCATTACAGAAATTTGCCATTGTCTTGTAAAAACAGGAAAAAAGTGAAAATATGTGGTAGCCTTTGTACTTTTATATTCTCTCAAGTAATGAATCAAAATAGGTGCTTGGCTTAATTTAAGAATATAATTAACTACTGCTGTGTGTGGTGGCCTGTAATCCAGCAAATTGGGAGGCTGAGACAGAAAGATTACAAATTCAAGGCCAGCCTCACTAATTCAGTGAAACCCTGTCTCAATATAAAAAAATAGAAAGGGGTAGGAATGTATCACAGAATAATTTATGGTTATGTACTAGCTCCCAATGTAATGATTTCTGGGTGTTTCCTTTCTGACTTAATATTGGGAACATGGTAAATGTCACATTTAATAGATTGGTAGCTACTATTAAGAGTCTACAGTCTGGGCCATTGAGATCATGCTTATTTAATTGTAGATATACTGAAGAATTGATGAAATAGGTGATATAAGAGTAATAGAAAGCTGTGCATGGTGGTGAATGCCTGTAATCCCAGCAACTCAGGAGGCAGAAGCAAGGAGATTCCAAGTTCAAGGCCAGCTTCAACATCTTAGAAACCTGTCTCAAAATAAAAAATAAAAAGGACTGGGGATGTAGCTCAGTGGTAAAGTGCCCCTGGGCTCAATGGCCAGTCATGCCCCCTCCAAGGGTAATAGGAAGAAAACTATGTTTGGAAACTATTTTAGATATTAATGTCCAAACTGCTTGAAATCCTTAGTAGTTTACAAGGAGTCCGCAAACAAAGAGTACAGAATATTCAAGTATACAGAATATATCTACTATCTATCACTGAAGAAATGGTGTGTTCTCATAGCCTCTGGGGAGAAAATTAGCTTACTGGTTTCAGAGAAGTAACTTTTAAGAAACAATTATTGAGCTGGGGGTACCCCCCCCCAAAAAAAATTAAGGACTAGGGTTGTGTCCTAGTGGTAGAGTGTTTGCCTTACATGTGGGAGGCCCTGGGTTTGATTCTCAGCACCGCATATAAATATGTATAAAATAAAAATCCATCAACAACTAAAAAGTATTTTTACAAAGTTAAATGTGGAGCCATTTCAGTTTGAAGGCCTCAGACTGTACAATTTCTATAAAACAATTCTATCGGGAAGTGACCATTTCAGAGTGAATCACCACCGCTCAGCAGGAGAAGAATGGGCTGTCAAGAATCAAAGGATGGCCCTCATTTACTACTGGCCAAGGGATACAATAATTCCTCAATGTGGCAGAATCAAAAGTTAATATCTGAATCTTACTAATAGGGTCTATATTTTTTTGCATATGACTATTCTTAAGATGATTATTATTTCAGGAGTGGATCTCAGACTGCCTGAAGTCCAGGCCTACTGAAGGATGTTCCTGAGAAATTGAAAACTGGCCTTCACTTTCTATCATCTCATGATAACAGGAATGTATTAGACTGTTTTCATTTGCTCCTGATGGGCAGGCAGATGTGTTGCCTGTATCTCCTCTATGATCAGGTGGGCAATAAGGTCAGGAAAGGATCCAAGAATAGCAAAGTACACTTCTCAGTTAGATTAGCCAACTGCCTCATTTTGCCTGATTTTTCTTGGTTATAACATTAAAAATCCTAAGAAAACTCCTTAGTCCCAGGCAAACCAGGATGATTTGAAACTCCATAACTTAGTCCACTCTGATGGTATAATTCTAAAAAGGAACTTTGGGGGACCTTGTTTGGAAGCCTATTGTCTGTATTCTGTCTCACATTATAAACTCTCTCAGTAAGTATCTGTATCCTTTGCCAAGAAGGAAACTTTACAGCCTTTAGCTGTGTCCACAGCATCAACACCCACTCCCTGGGACAACTGCACTTAGTATCTACATAGAGAGTTCTTCCCCCATGGTATGCATCTGATGATATTCAGAACATACCACCCCCCAAACTTACCACTTTGACATAAGAATCAACTTGAGTTAATTAACTTAGAAAAATAAACAGCAGGTGCAAGAAGATCACTTTGACCTTCCTTCTGTTTCTGAAAAGCAGAAGATGAAATTCCTATAACTAGTCCAAGGGAAACAACATTCTTATATTCAAGGACAGGAAGTTGTGCCAGAGAGAATTATGTAAAGGCCTTGTTAAAATAACTCTTTATCTTCAGCCCTCCCATGTAATTTAGTTGCTTTGTCACACTTACTATTTTTTTTTCCTTTTTGTGGTACCGGGAATTGAACTCAGAGGCACTTAACCACTAAGCCACATCTGCAGCCCTCATTTTGTATTTTATTTAGCGACAGGGTCTTGCTGAATTGCTTAGGGCCTCACTATGTTGTTGAGGCTGGCTTTGAACTCGTGATCCTCCTGCCTCAGCCTCCTGAGCTGCTGGGATTATAGACATAAGCCACCATGCCCAGCATACTTTCTTTTTTTTTCTTTTTCTTTTTTTTAAGAGAGAGGGAGAGGGAGAGGGAGAGGGAAAGGGAGAGAGAGAGAGAGAGAGAGAGAGAGAGAGAGAGAATTTTTTAATATTTATTTTTTAGTTCTCGGCAGACACAACATCTTTGTATGTGGTGCTGAGGATTGAACCCGGG